AGACAAATTAAGTCATGTAAATGGATTTAATTAAGATTGAATGATTCAGGTCTCAAAATGTAGCTTTTAAAGCCAAGAATCTGAAAATGTAATTAGGTCATTTTGACCAAATTTGACTTAATCCTCGTTTTGATATGATGGGTCACATACAGTATATAATATATAATCCACATGTGCTTGTCCCTGACCGTCTGTGCATCACCGGACCCTCTCCTCTCTCCCCCCTTAGTGAGATGGATGAGTGGATGGGACAAGCGGCAGTCTTAATTCAGCTGCACTGACTAATGGACTCTGTTGGCAGCTACATCTGCTTGCCATTGAGAAGCACCAAAGCTGTTCACATGCATTAAGCAGCAGATCTCTATTCCAGAAGCCTGTTCAGATTGGAGAAGACCAGCTTGGGGCCTCGTTAGACCCCGAGACAGATTGTTCGTYTCTGACCAGCCTGTGTGGAATGTGGATCTTGGTGCCCAAAATAGAAGAAAATCATTTGAGCAGTGGAGCTTGTCTGTGCTTTGCAAAAAGCAAATGCCAGTGTCATCGATTTTTTTTTTTTCACCTGAATTATGAGCCCTTGAGTTCCTCTTAATTAGAGAAATTTAAAAAAAAGGTTTTCTCATAAATGCAGGATGATTCACACTAAATTATGGGTTTCATCAGTTGAGTGAAATATGATGCAAATTCATACTTTATAAGCTACAATAGACCCTAACAGTGGTAGATTTATATTGGGTTTTTTTGTTTGTCAATACAAAATAACTTTTAATCTCATGCATGAAGGGCCATGATTTGTTTGTAAAAGTAAACCCTGCAGCCCAAAGCTCACAGACTTGGTGTGTTTCTAAACTACCAAACATTTTTCTAGAATATATTTGGAAGATTTTGATGAGTCTCCAAAATATTAATCATCCTACACTTTCAGAAAGATGCTTAAAAAAAGAAAGAAATCAATACAACCTTGTTTTTAATCATGCTTAACGTTGGTAAAAGTTAATGAAAATATCGGTTGTAAACCACTGTTATTTTTGAAGGAAACAAAATATATTTCAAATACTAAAACTGTGAATTAGCTTTTTAGATATGTTTATACTTTAAACCTAATTCTAGTAGGTCTGATCAAAATTATTACAGCCAGTTTAGTGAAAAGGCAGCGGGTCTGTAACATGATTTTAGTATTACAAGGAAATATGAAATTTATGCGACATAACTGAGTTTAAAAGGAGTATGTTAAGAAAACGCTGTTTATATCAAAAATAAATTTGACTTTACGTCATAGTCAAAACACTTTGAAATTGGCCTCTGTCTATTTAAAAACCTACCATTTCTGACACTCCCACCTCAGCACATCTTCACAATAATGCTTTCAGGGGGCGGGAGCTCGGCTGTGGACTGAGCTCCAGGGAGGGGCTTTGTGTAAATAGGCGGAGCTTTGTACCAGCAAGTGTTCAGGCAGCTTCACGTGTGTACCATTCAAGGACTTCTCAAACATGCATGAATGAGTCAAAGCCACACTCTGGGTATGTTTTGATGGGGCAGAAGGCAGATTTACGGACATATCTGAAAACTTTTATTATTTTTTTAATGAGATTACTAAAGTTTTTCAACTCTTATAGGTGGGGAAAAAAAATACAAACCAAAAAAAAACAAAATACAGATTTTGACCTGAAAGGCAGCTCCAGCCCTGCACAAACAACTCCGCATGTTTGAGCATGTGAGTTAAAATCCAGCGCATGACATTTTTGCTGACACCAATTAGGAAATTAGTCTTTTCTTCTTGTTTTCTTCTGGGAAACTGAAAGGTCAGCTACATAACAGCTGCGGTAGGAATTTTATTGTTCTGTTCCCAGATGGCTCATCAAGGCAAACAGACATATTCTCACAGGCATAATGGCACTGACGGGTATTTTCTGTTCACGCTATTAGGAAACCCAGCACACTCATTCATAACTGAATACAACTACGAAGTTATTAACTGTGGCCCACTGCCAATCAACTTCTTTAGTCTGCTTTTATTTTGGCACATTTCGGTAACATCCCACATTTAGGTCATAATTTAAAGTTAAATACACGTTTTACTGTTTTAGGATCTTGAGCCATCTTTGACTAAAAAAAACATTGAATCAGCTCAATCATACCAAACGTCAAGCACGGTGGTGGAGGGCTGATGATGTGGGCTTGTTCTGCCGTCACAGTTCCTTGCAGTCATTGAGKTGACTAGGATCCTTCTGAAAACCTAAATATTCTAATATTTTTGCCCAAATTTATTCATGCAACAGTGATCTGCTAATTCTGCTAGTTGGAAAAATAAAAGCTCGACAGGTCCAGTTAAAGCTTATTCTTCAAAGTGAAATTTTATAGTGATACACAGGTGAATAGTAAAGAAGTACATTTACTTCATTACAGTACTTTAAATAGTGTTTTAAGGATTTGTATTTTTTCTAATGTTTTTTTAAATTGTAACTTTCAAAACATAAAAATTATACTTTTACTTCTTTACTTTAAAATTGAACACCTTGTTTAACGCGTGCTACAAGCATAAATATGACCAGAACTCATGAAAGGAGTTTATGTACTCTAAACTCAGCAATTTTCACTTTTTTTTTTTACGAAATTTTCTAAATTGCTTTACATTTATTCAGCTAAGCTTAATGGAACCAGTTGATGTAACTTGGTTAAATAAATTAAACACTTCATTTTTTAGAGTGATGGAAAAGTAATTTTTTTATTTTCCCTATTGTGAACAGTTTTATGACTTATTTAAGTACTTTTCTTATCAGTGAATTTCATTTTTTGTTAAGTTGTTTTTACTTTTACTTGGTTTTTCTTTATACAGTGTATATTGTACACCTTTGGTGAAACCTTCAATGAGCTGTCTGAAGAGAACATTTGGAAATCTCAGTAAATTAAAGTAAAAAAGTAAGAAAAACTGAGTCACAAAGACCCGACCGCAGATAAAATCATAGAACAGATGATTACTTTTGTTGCTGCTAAAAGTGGTTTTACTAAATATTAAATTTAGAAATACAGTGGGTAAAATAAGTATTGAACACGTCACCATTTTTCTCAGTAAATATATTACTAGAGGTGCTAATGACATGAAATTTTCACCAGATTTTGGTAACAACCCAAGTGATCCATACATACAAAGAAATCAAACCATAAATGTCCAGAAATTAAGTTATTTGTAATAATGTGGAATGGCACAGGGGGAAAAATGTTGAGCACATGAAGAAAGGGAGGTGTAAAAAGGCATGGAAAGCCAAGACACCAGCTGAACTCTCTCAGTAATTAGAAAGCAAGCCTGCCCCTTGTCAGTGCAAGTTAATATCAGCTGGTTCAGTCCCAAATGATAGCCAGGTATCACACAAGAACCATCTGATGATGGGTATGAGTAAAGAGCTCTCTCAAGACCTTCACAACCTTATTGTTGCAAAGCATAATGATGGCATCGGTTACAGAAGAATGTCTAAACTTCTGAAGGTTCCAGTGAGCACTGTTGGGGCCATAATTCAGAAGTGGAAAGAACATYATTTCACCATAAACCGACCACGACCAGGTGCTCCTCACAAGATTYCTGACAGAGGAGTGAAAAGAATTATCAGAAGAGTTGTCCAAGAGCCAAGGACYACTTGTGGAGAGCTTCAGAAAGACCTGGAATTAGCAGGTACGATTGTTTCAAAGAAAACAATAAGTAATGCACTGAACCACCATGGCCTGTATGCACGCTCACCACGCAAGACTCCACTGCTAAGGAAACAGCATGTTGAAGCTCCTTTAAAGTTTGCTGCACAACATTTARACAAGCCTGTGTAATACTGGGAGAATATAGTCTGGTCAGATGAGACCAACATTGAACTGTTTGGATGCCAGAATACACATCATGTTTGGAGGTCAAATGGCACTGCACATCAGCCCAAAAACACCATACCAACAGTGAAGTTTGGAGGTGGGAACATCATGGTGTGGGGCTGTTTTTCAGCATATGGTACTGGCAAACTTCAAATAATTGAAGGAAGGATGAGTGGAAAAATGTACAGAGACATTCTTGATAAAAATCTGCTTCCATCTACCAGGATGATGAAGATGAAACGTGGCTGGACATTTCAGCAAGACAATGAGCCCAAACACAAAGCCAAGGAAACTCTCAGTTGGTTTCAGAGAAAGAAACTAAAGCTGCTGGAATGGCCCAGCCAATCACCTGACCTGAATCCAACAGAAAATCTATGGAAAGAACTAAAGATCAGAGTTCATAGAAGAGGTCCATGAAACCTTCAAGATTTGAAGACTGTTTGTGTGGAAGAATGGGCCAAAATCACACCTGAGCAATGCATGCCACTAGTTTCTCCATACAGGAGGCRTCTTGAAGCTGTCATTGACAACAAAGGCTTTTGTACAAAGTATTAGATAAATTTCAGTAAGCGTGTTCAATACTTTTTCCCTGTGCCATTCCACATTATTACAAATAACTTMATTTCTGGACATTTATGGTTTGATTTCTTTGTATGTATGGATCACTTGGGTTGTTACCGACATCTGGTGAAAATTTCATGTCATTAGCACCTCTAGTAATATATTTACTGAGAAAAATGGTGAYGTGTTCAATACTTATTTTACCCGCTGTATTTAMTGCATCTGTGTTCTAACCCACAACATATCCTTCACTTCAGTGATATTAAAGCTTTTTAATTKAACCTTGTTTTAWGACAGAAATGTGCCCCTCCCTGAGAAACTCTCCTGTGGTGACTCCGACTGCTCTGCTGCAGGTAAAAGCTCAGAGCACACTATCCCACTTCAAAACAAAAAGTCAACTGTCCTTTTTAGCCAACACCCATATCTAAAGACTGACTCACCACGCGGCACAATGTGTGAGGACAAGGACACTGATACTGTTAGCCCAAAGAGTTGTAGTATAGAGGCGGAAAGGGCCAGGTGGATGTCATCCTAACAATGAAAACTATCCAAAGCAGTTTCAGTGTTGAGGACGAAGATCCACTTTCCTGTCACTCAAAGGAGTCACAGAATAGCCAGTGGTTGTGCGACAAACGTGTTTTCTGTTGAATAACTATTTCCTTTCAGCAAAATGACTTTTTTAATCTTGAACGCAAGCATGTGAGTGACAGACGTTACAACACACAGAGTAATAATCTAAATCACTTTATTAATTTAAGTTAGGTAGAAACACTAAACATTGGAACCACATTTGCTCTGCGAWGTAGCAGTCTTTAAGATATTACAAAAAGAGACTTATGTTAAAACTGTCAAAACAAAAAAAGAAAGAAAAGGCAAAAAAATTAAGAGGTAGAGAATATAGGCTCATCACTGTGACTGAGGGAATGATGCCTAGTGGAATGTACGGTAGTTAAAATTCAAAACGAACGCATAGAAAAATATTCAGACATCAAATGTGGTGGGAACACTTATGCTGGGACACTGGAGTGTTAACATTTAAACACATACATTTCACTTTTAACTGGTCAGAACGACGGCAGACACAAATTTTACACTATTTTCAATCCAGCCGCCWGGTCATGGCAGCTGTTTCACCTGCAAAATCGAAATTTACAATTTGAACGACACACTAAAACGACACAAATGAGAAAAATGCCAACGTTTCTTCTCAAGTGATACATTCAGCCACGTGTTAACTGAACCTGGGGCGGCAAGTTTTCACTTTTCAGCTGAGACATTTACCARAACGGAGCGCCAATAATAGGCTGCTGAGTCTGGCCGTTAAATGTCCCGTTTGGAATGCACAAATAACATTTAACTATACTATAAGTCTTTAAATCATATATTTACCAAAAACAAAAAATGGTAAAATTGTGGAATATTTGTTTAAAATGGCACACACAAAGCCTTGGCTGCAGCTGTGCAAGTTGGATTAAAAAAAAATCTTCCTGTGTTGGGGGAAATGTTGGAAAACTTAAACAAAGAATGCTGGTAGTGTTGGAAAAAAATACAGAATTTACATTAGAAAAAAATAGAAATTACAGTGCATGTCTACAAAAATAAAAATAAGTGAAAAAAAGATTACTGTTTGTACAGTAACATACTGTATATTTCCACAATGACACTAAATAAGGCTGGTGACTACATTATGTAAATAGTTAATTACTGAATACCTTTTTCTGTATGATTTCAAAACTAGCGACCTTATRTAGATGTTGGTTTCTTTAAAACAAACAAATAAAAATAAATCCTTTGTGTAGTACGCAGCTTTTTTTTTTTTGTTCCAGAGGAACAATATGGTAAACCTTTGCATTTGCTCAATGCAAGTGCACCAGTCTAGAGTCAGTCTCTCTTCTTTCCGCCTTCCCCCCGTTTCCATCCTCAGTGGTTGTTTCCTCGTGCTTGCAGTTTTAAATGCCCTCGTGTTAAACAGCGCCCCCTAGATCCCGTTCTTTGCTTCGTTGTTGTTCATCGCCTCTTTCCTCTGAGCCAGGAAAGGGTACATGCACTTGTCGGCCCCTAAAAATCGATACATGCAGACGATGGCCTCGAAGGGCAGGATGCTGCGGGGACAAGACGGGGTTATGATTAGTGGGATGTGTGAAGGTTGTGTGTATGAGTGCTGAAGATGAATTACACTGAAATGGCCCACTGTAGCACAGTTTTGCTGCTTGACGCTACTTTAGCATCCTTGATTATTGCAGCAAACCATTGATTTACGAAGAAAAACTTAACTCGGACAATGTTTGGCCATAAATTGTTAAAAGTGGAACCTGCAGTTCAAAGAGTGCAAGCGACTGTACACGGTAGCATGTTTCCATCCAAATGAGTTTTGAACAAATTTTTAAAATGTTGCAAAATTTCTTCAGACATTGACGTTACGCATGGCTGTAATAAACAGGAAGTAGAKGTTGCAAAATAGATACATCTCGGGACAATGGAGAGAAGTTTTCAGGAATGTGTTGCTATCGGGCAAATTGTAATAGTTCTGTCGTACCAACTAGTGTTGGCGATGTAACGTGCTGTGCATTAATTCTTCTGGAATATCCAAAAACCAACTCAAACTAACTTTTTTGCAAAAATCAAGGATGTTTTTTTTTCTTCTAATTTTGCCGTTTCCGTCAACTTTTTCTAATGCGATACTTCAAAATGCGATGGGTGTAGCACCCAGCAAGATGGTGGCCACAAAACGTGCCAGTAGCTGCCATTCCAGTGTCTTTCTACTACAGTGGGTAGAAGAAAGGTTGGTAGGTGATGGGAGGTAGCTCACCTTTTCATGAAGTTCACCATGTAGACGATGCGAGGCGTGCAGACCATCGGCTGGTCTGTGAGGATGGCCCTCATGGCTTGTTTCACACAGAACTCTGGTTTTAGGGGAGGCAGAAAGGCCTCAATCTCCTTCCTGAATGAGCAGAGAAATAATCCTCATCAAATCCACAATACATTTAGCACAATTAATTAAATGCAGCTGTGAAATACAGTAAGCCGCTTAGGGAGTGGAAAGAAACAGGCTTGAAGTGAGATTATTTTGTCAATCTTTTTGTTCCAGGGGGGCAGCAGTAAAGCCACCTGCAGAACAACTATCAAACAAAGTGAGGACTATTACAGCCGCAGCTTATGGAAAAGGGGTGGGGGTGTACACCTGGTGCACCTGTTCTTGAGGTTTTTCCCCTGGGAAAGAAAAATAGCCCTCTTTGTTCGAGCGGACTGTTGACTTATGGAACAGAACTCACTTTATGGGAACTGTAACGACAAACTATTTGCATCCGCTTTTGAAGTTCAAATTGTGTGTTTTTTTTAAAGGTAGTTTTATGAAGTGAAGATTACAAACAACTAACTCGTCCCAGGTGCGAGCACACGCCGGAACAATTACACTTTCTGGTGTGGCGTCGATGCTAACCTTATCCTGCAACCTTTGAACATTCCCGTGTCGACCAGGTAAGGACACACCAGAGTCATGTTGACGCCGTCCTTCTCCGAGGCTTTAATCTCGTGGCTGAGAGACTCGTGAAACCCGATGGCACCAAACTTGCTGGCACAGTAATCCTAAAGGGAATAAAAGAGAGGGACGGATTAGCCCTGTGAAACCCTGGGCCGTACCTACAGGGACGGGGAAAACATTATCAAACATGCTCCGCGGGCTCAGGGGTTTCTCCTTTTGCTGTTAATGATACAGCCACGAAAACCTGAGGGAGCCTAACGGCTTTTCTACRGTTTCATTAGCATTCTTCTCTAGTGCATTAGCAGGCTGCGCTGCGAGTCGAAAAGGTTTTGATGTGGTTTACTGTGGAAATTAAAGAAAAAAAATTAGCTAAACTAAAAAAAGGGGGGAAGCTTAGGCAAACACAGATGCATGTCAATAAACCGAGGATTTTGCTCACATCACGTGCAAGGCATTTTCACTAACAGTAATAGCTAAAGAAAAACTGAATTTAATGTCTATGAAAGGTCACATTGTGACAAGTTAATGCTCAGACAAAAGCAAACGTGCAGCTTAAAAACACATCAGTGGATGTCCGCACAGACTGGTTTATTTCCAGCTGATGGAATAGATGAACCACTGTTTTACAGACATAAAAATAATAACAAAAAAACATGAAATAAAACCTTAATGGGGGACTGGGAGCTACTGCTTTACCCCCTCAGAAGGCTATGGGAATAACCAAGCCATTAAATAATATATCAAGCATTAGAATGGGGGGGAAAAGGAATAAAAACTGAAAAACCATATCAACTGAACGCGTCGGTGAGCTGAATACTGAGTGAGGAGCAAGTTGTTGTTTTTTTCCACAAAGCAGTGATGAAGATGTCTCTGTCCCTTGGGGGGGCTGTCAGCTCATTCTGGCCTCAGGGGCCAGCGCCCACCGGGGTCCCCCCACTCCCCCGCTGCTGCAGATAGAAGAATCTATACCAGGCTCCCAATGCTCATCTGTGTTCCTTAATTTAACGGGTGGGGAGACRACCAGAGAAAGGGGGCCCTAACCTCCTCGGGCTCAGTGGGCTCGCTGGCACTCGGGCGAGACGAGGCGCTGGGTTTTCAGATGGTGGGAACGATGGGATGTGTATGAGTTGCTGTGTGTGCGATACGAACCTCCACTCCAGCTGTGCTGAATAAACCCAGAGAGCTGGCAACAGTTACAATGTGGCCGTGGTTCAGCTCCAGCATCTTGGGGAGAAATGCCTTGGTGGTCTGGGGGAGAGGACAGAGGAGACAGAGGGATGAGGAGAGGAAGAAACAGAGGAAGGTTAGTTCACTTGTGCAGCTCGCCTGTGCCAAAGCTCTTTGATCGTCTTTGCCCCCCCCACACCCCCCTTCTCCATGGTAATGTGAAAACAGAGGCGTCTGAGTGAGAATTCATAACCGAGGGAGGAGGGGGGGCGGGGGGAYGGAGGGAGTATAGTGGAGGATTAAAAACATAACTTTTCTGCTTTTYCAAATCAGACATTAAAGAGGAAGCTTGACCTCAAACATTTAAAGGGGCAATGTCATGTAAAATCAACTTTTTTGAGTTTTGCATCATGTTATAATGTTATATTCTCATAAAAAACATGCCCAAAGCCTTGCTTTGACTCATTCATGCATGTTTGAGAAATCCTGCAGCGTTTTTAGGCAGCCATGCTGAGGAGCAAAACGACAGGTGGGGACCAGAAACGGCCCTGGGACGTGTCTTTAAGCTGAACTTCCTCATGTCAGAGCACCCCCTCCACACACACACACACACACACACACCCCGCCCATGACTCCTGCAGCCTCTCGGGTGAAAGTGAAAGTGAAACCTAACTGTCTGCTGAGCTCTCAACATTAGTTCTCACTCAGTGAAGCTCTTTTCAGATTAAAAATTCCTTTGAGGAAACGTATTTTCAGATGCTAAGTAAACTGCATTATGGCAGCCACCCCCCCTCCCACCGCACTGAAATGGGTGAGACAGAAGCGGAAGGAGGTTCCTAAAGAGACAGAGGCCAATTTCAAGGTGTTTAGAAGAGGAAGCGATGAGAACATACGTTTATTTTCTATTTAAACATAAAAACAGCATTTTAATAACAGCTAAAGGTGACATTGATGCTTTATTATGGTATAATATTTAAATGTGTGCCTKAGAAACACATAATATTGGCCCTTTAAAGCAACATGTGCAGGGAGGGATGCTGTTCCCACACAGATCTGGTGCCTGCCGTTGAGCCGCGCACTAAAGCRCTGCTGACAACGCCGCTCACTCAGCACTTCGAAAAAAAAAGAAACAACTTCAATTCACCCTCTCATCCACTGTCACAGCCTCGCTCCCCACCTGAGAAGCGGTCAGCGGACCAAGCCGTGGGAYGAACACCGGGCGAGCTGCGGGACAAAAGGGTTTCCAGCCGCACGACGACAACCTGACTGGTTCCACCGGACAGAGAGTCAGTGATGTGGTGAGAAGTTCACCAGAGGTTACGCCTGACTATCACGTGAACCCGTTCTCCACCCGTGACGCATAACAAGACCAGTCACTCTCACACAACTTTGATGCCCAGCAGTTATAAAAAACAACAAAAAAGCCTGTTTGCTGATTTTTAAGTGGAGCTGCAGTAGCTCGGTGGGCAGTGTAATCCTGAGGCCGCGAGTTCGAGCCCGGCTTGCGTCAGGACAGGCTTCCCTTGTTAAAAACAATCGCCAGAGAGTTGGCTCGATTGTGGCAAACCCTGAAGAAGACAGCAGCCAAAAGAAAAAAAAACATTCGCTGTTTAAAAACCTTCAATGGAAAATGTAAGATAATGAAGCCTCTGCTTATTTGGCAAAAGAAAAACATCTATTACAGCGATAGTTTAGACGTGTAGAAGTGAAGTTCTGTGGAAAGGTTATGAATTTAAAGGATCTCAGTTTGGAGAAACATTCTGAACAAACGATGGCCTAAAAGCTAATCCAAGCTAGTGTAAGTCCAAAGTGAACTGCTGCCATCTTTAAAAAAACAAAAAAACAAACTCCAATCTCTAAATTTTCTTAGCAGTTTAAACAATCCCTGTTTTATTACACTTAACACTTGAACTTTATTACAGTTATTTACAGAGAATTCTGTGGGATGTCATCAWATTTCTGCTGGAACAACTGTGACGTTTCTGAAATTGGAGTTTCAAGTCCACTTTGGTCTTGGCTTTGCTCAGACTAGAATTAAACTATATTTCTCCAAAGAGCACTCAAATGACTACATACAACAGGTAAAGCATTAGCTATTTACCCAGAAGCACACACCAAAAAATAAAATATAAATCAAAACACTTCCTTAAATAAATACATTTTTTTGGTTCTTTCTGCTGACACTCAAAAATCTTTGCTTTTAATTATCATGAGATTAAATGAATTGATTATTTTGGTACAGTTTCTAAGCATTGCCAGAGAAATGATCCAGGCTTCCTCATAAACATTTACAGGAATGGAAGCACAGAGCCAGAATCAGCCTGGTTCCAGGTAGTACCAGCTGTTTGCAGAGGGAAAACCTTTAATAAAACTACACCTACAGATGAACAGCTTTGGTCCTACTGACTTATCGTTTAATCTCTGGTAAAGCACATCTCCTGTCTATAAATGCCTTTCTCCTTGTTTAGGGAGGTACATAAAAAAGTAAAAGTAATAAGCAGAACTTTAAAAAGTGGCTGCTGCATGGAAAAACGATGACCTCATTGTTCGAGCTTATCCTCAGCCAGGTATAACTGATCTGACTCCGATCCAAACATCTGCAGTTTTCCAGGACATAAATTTTAAGGTCAGTGCAATATTCATCTCATCAAATGATGGGGCCCGAAGAGGGGGGAAAGCGAGAGAACACGAGGGCTAGGCAAATGCTGAGAAAGGACTACACGAGCCAGAATGGCAGTGGAGAGAACACAGAGGAGGGGAGCGTTGCGTGCAAATGAAGCATAATCTTAAGATATGCCCGTAGCTGACTTGAGCCAAACGTTCCCGCTCCCAAAGCAGGTTTTAGACAGCAGGGAATGACTTGATCTGGCACAGCGGCTTACAGTTACAGCCAGCACTCGCATTCAACTGGACGCCTTTCCTGTGGGGGGGTTTATTACCTGGAAGTGATCGGAAAGATCGTTCCCTCGTATCATGGATGGGGCAAGAGCGTGATCAACCAATCCCGCCTCCCCTCCACATCCTGCTACCATGTCCCGCTTCTCATGGCAGCTCTGGCATGCGGGGATGACCCCCGCTGACTTCTCGGACACAAAATGTGTGAAGGCAACCAAGGTCTTGTGTCTTACATCAGAGCGGCCATAATTGGGTCTCAACGCCCCCCGTGTTCTGCTAAATTACCCGCTGACACAGCCGGGCCTCCTTGGTCCAAGTGGGGGTGCCCTGCTCGCTGCACCCCCTAATTGGTGCGTGCCCCCAGGAGCATTTAAGCCACACAAAGCTTTTCGCAGCTGGGGTGTCAGGCTGCATTAGTGCTAGCGCCTGACCAACAGGAATACGAACAAAATATTGGCCTTCGAGTCGGACCAGATGGCCATTTAATTGGGCTGACTTCTCCCTGGATGAGAGAACGAAGCAAAGGGAGAGAAAAACCGTCCGAGCACAAGAGCTCGGTGGAAACCGAAGCAGGACGGGGGACTTGAGTGGGCTGGGTTGGTTTTAGCTGTGGTCATAGCCTGGCCCTTGCCTTTCTACGCAGTTCTGCTCAATTCTAGTTGGTTTTAACCAGGCTACTGTGGTCAGGGATGATTGATGAAGGTTGTTTGTGTTGCTGTAGTGCCCCGAAACTCTACCCTACAATTGGTTATATGACCAGGATCGAATTAGCTGCTACTCTGATGAGGAAGTGCTTTTAAAGCACAAAATAACATCCAGTATTTGTCTCAGCCCTGATCATGGAAACCAGTTTATACAAATAAATGTTGCTTATGAGTAAATCATTTTCATAACCACAAATTTTAATTATAAAAGGTACATAACATGATGGGCTATATGCTATTTATTCTGAACATTTTTTCTGTCATCCACAAGGGGGTGCTGTAGCACCCTCATCACCACCAGTTCGCACAGCCTTGAACAATGTGGCTGCAAAAACTTTTAGCATTCTGATAGATTTTCTTAGTTTTTGAACCTATTTTCTTAAACATTTTATTGAAAGAGAGGCAACAGGTTATCACTGTATCAGGTTAGAATTTTGGCTGACAGATGTATCATTGTTTTTAGATATCTACTTAATCCCCAATTTGATTAGCTCCCTTCAATCTGCAACAGAGGCATGAAGTTGCGCATCAGCACCAATGCAGACGGCGAGTGCAGCCTGGCACTTGAATGTCAGATGAGGCATGCACAAGACAGAGAAGGTGAGCAATGAAGAACTGGCAGCAACGAGAGACAAAAGAACGGACAGGCAATGACAGTCTCACTTGCATCAGATGCAGTAGAGAATATTACTCTAGATCTGGTTTGTTTAGCTACAAACGAAAGTCCAGATACTGGATGGTACACCACTGTCTCCCAAATACAGAGTGATGCTGAAGCTATGCTATGCTATGCTATGCTAAAATATAATATGGTATGGTATATACTATGGTATTTTAAAGTATAGTATGATACGGTAAGGTACGGTATGCAGCGGTATAATATGCTATGGACAAAGTGTTTTAAAATCAGGACAATATCTGTTTAGAAGTAATCATTCTTGTTGCTGTTTATCAAACATCATTTTTTCCTTGACCCAGATTTTGTCTGTTTGCTGTATAATGAGTGTATCTGAGACTGCCTCGGTGCACACATTCTGTACCACTTCCTGTGYGACATGATGTGTGTCTTGCAATTGCAATAAATCCTGATTGACCTTTCACGGAGTACTTTTTATTCTTGAATCTCATGTTTATGCCTAGGTAAAATAAACATTTCCACTACAGTATGCTATGCTATAATATGGTATGGTATATACTATGGTATGCTACAGTATGGTATGCTACAGTATGGTATGCTATAGTATACAATGGTAAACTATGGTATGCTATAGTATTATATGGTATACAATGGTATGCTATGCTATAATATGCTATAATATGGTGTGGTGTGGTATGGTATACTACAGTATGGTATGGTATATTGCAGTGGTTCCCAAACTTTTCAGCTTTTGATCCACAAAATAACAGTAGCAGAGACCTGTGCCCACTTTTGGATGATAAACATTTGCATCAGGTCAACTAAACATGGGCACAGTAACAATATTTGTTATTCTATATTTATACATTTTAGGCAACTAAGGCAAAAATGTAATTAATTTAGAAAAGCTTTTCAGGACCCCACCTTGATGTTTCAGGACCCCACTTTGGGTCCCGACCCCAACTTTGGGAACCACTGGTATATTGGGTTGCTCTGTACATGAAATGTGCTTTATAAATCTGATTTGATTTTGCAAAAAAATCAATTAGACAAAATAAACTGTTGCATCTTTAGATTGTGGGAATATCAGTCACACCTAAGTAGTTTGAAACATCTGGACTTGAGTATCGTTTGGTATTAGACATTTTAGGAACAACATGATCAATGGTTCATTTAATGAAATAACAATCGTTGGACTTGTAACRAAGTGAACATGGAAAAATGGGAGGGCGATGACTCGTCTCACGGTGGACTACAGGTGCATTAGGCCTGAGGAGGGGCCTTTATAAAACCAGTCAAGTAGGACCCTTCTGCCTGGTTGCCTCCTTTCTCTGACTACAGAAGGAATGTGGCCTGCAGAACTTGGCTCCTGTCGCCTGGCATCTCGTCAAGCTGATCCACAGACAAGAAACCAATTGTCAGATAAAGTGGGTCAGCAGAAGCTTACCATTACCCTCTCGCCTCGCCTGCGGATGGGATGGCACCGGCTTCYTTCCCTTTTTCCCGCCATGTCGACGGCTCGTACACTAGAGCAATGGGAGCGGGGAGGGGAGCGAGTGTTTATTATTAACAAGCCACCTGTTGGATAACCAGCTCAAGATGTGGAGGACGATTTCCTTTCATGTCATTCCACGTGACACCCACTCATCCTCGAGCACAAACTCTAGTGTCACTTGGAAAATAAGTCGTGTGTGCCGGCATGACGCAAAAGTGAGCACCAAACAAYGCAAATGACCAGCTGGACTTATCAAAGCATCAAGACAAATTCTCCCTGTCTCGTAAAAAACCCTAAAAGGGAAGAAAYGAATGAATCATAAGTTTGTGTATGTGTGGGGCAGAGCCGGATGAACGGAACCAGTGTCTGTGACTCCCTTCCAGCTGTGCCCACTGCCTCTAAATCAAGTTGGGAAGAGTCAGAGGGGCCTGTGGAAGGAGGAAGAGAAGAAGCGTTGGGTGTGAGCTTGGCCGATTTTGGCAGACGACCACGATAACGTTTACAATCTGTTTCCTGCTCCGGTCTCTAACATTGCCTTAATCCCAAAACAATGTTCAACAAATGAGAACTAACATAAAACACAAATCTGATCGTCTCCTGGCTTGACTGACATCCAGTTATTCTAAATGGCTTGCTTTCGAGTGGGGGGGACGTTTTACCAACTGTCTTTGATAGGAGAAAAGTTTGAGAGGTTTTTTTTTCTCTCAATAGCAGAAGCTTTTAGACTGACTTTGCCWGCAAATTATGAAAATAAATCCCAGGCTAGTCACATTGCTGGCATCAAAATCCAATAAATAAATAAATAAAGAGATATATTGAAGCGGAGCTCTGTGTAAAGGTTATGAAGAATTACCTGTTGTAGCTCTTTGAATGACTTCAGTTTGGAAACATAGTTTAATTCTGACTGGATTGATGCGCTAATGGCTAGGCCAAGTGTGGACAAGACTGAGGTGAACTGCAGTTGTCTATAAATAAACCTCAGTTTGAAAAATGTAAATACAGTTCATGCTAACGCTGTTTTAAAAATCTTTACGTTACTCTCAATTTTTCATTGCATCKGTTTTTTTGGGGAACTAAAATTTACAACATTTCTGGAGTCCACATCTGCAACAGAAGTGCCAACGCTAGTTGCTGCTAACTGCACCTGCAAATATTTAAAGAACTCAGTGTAAATATGCATGCAATATAGCYATTAGCTCTGTATTTTGCAAAGTGGGGGCTAGTGGCGAGGGCTCAGAAAGCTGGCAGGAAGATGAGGGGAAAAAACTTGCTTTAAATCTGTTTTTCAATCATTATTTTTCAAATATAATTATTACAATATGTTGAAATGTTATTTTTAAAAAGCCTAAGAATTGTTWAATTTCTTTTGTTCTGTTCTTATCATCAACAGTTTATCAAATAGTTGGTTCTTATTATGCTTAACATGTTGAATAGTAAATAAAAGCGAGGAGATAGCATTCTAAAAATTGATGTTTCTTTGTTGTTTGTGGGTTTGCAAAGCAGCTTATAGCCGTGGCATGGAAAAGTTTGGGAACCCCTGCATTAAGTCATCAATCAGGTCAGAATAAACTATATTTTTTTTCCACAGTGAGGCATTTCAAAGAGCTATCTGCAACAGGTAAGATACTGTTCTAACACAGAATCCCACTTCAATCTGTTTCTCCAAATTAAAATGCCTTCTTCAAAATTCACTTCGTATGAATACTTTTCTATAAAATCCCTTATCTGTTTGMAAAGCATTAACATCAGAAGCGTGTGTCTCCATAAACCCCTCCYACACTTCAACACTGAGCTTTTAAGGTTTCCTGATGAGTCATAAACCACAAGTTAACCCTTTTGAAAAGCATGTTTAGAAAAGAAAATGTTTAAATTGGGCTGAAAGGGTAGCACCTGCAGGCGGTGAGTAACTGTGATTGTGAGGGAAAAGTGGACAGGTCTGTGTTGGTTTAAGCTTCTTTCTTCTAGCTTGTGTCGTTAATGAACCACATCCTCCATCCCGGCTGTCGCCATTCATTAGAGCCGGCTTTCATCTGCCCTCCTGTCTCCACCCCTTCCCTAAAGAATCCACGCTCTCCATAGAATACAGCAGAACACAAACACAGTCATCTATTAAGAATCGAAAATCTGCCACCCAACCACTGGATCCTGATTCCAAACCCTGGATGTAAATAAAAGAACTGGAGGATAGGTGAGGTGATTAGGTGAGTTAGRGAACTTCTAATCCATAAAAACAGACTGCAACTTCAAAATGGACAATTTTTCCAAGAGTTTCATTAAAGTGTGCTCACTAGTTCATGAGATATTTTGCTAACAGACAAACAAACACACTCAAGCAAATCGTTATCTTGATGAATTCCTTATCAATGTGGGAGGATGGAACTCCTGCTGCCACTCGGGTTTTGTTTGAAGTGAAGCATCTAAGCCCACATACTGTACCTTCGGAGATAATCTGGCATGAGAAAGTTYGAGGCAGGAGGAGCCAAAAGCAAATAAAATAAAATAAAATCTGACACAGACGCGCATCGAAATCACCACGCGCCAACAAAATGTGCTGATCTGATCCGAGGCTTATCCAACCCGCAGACAGAGAGCCCTGCTTCTGTCAGACGAGGATCAGGAACAGCTTCAAAGCTTCAAAAAAAGACAAACCCGTGACTTTCCTCTGGCAGAATGAAGGAGAGGTGAAACGAGAGCGAGCGAGGCGACTGTTTATGGGCTTCCCTTCGCTTTCTCACCCACAAAATAAAGCACACTTTGATTTTTGAGTTTGGCTTAGAGATGAGAGTAAAAGATGTGGAAAATTCCTGTGAACCTGCATTATACTGACTCATGAAGACCAATGAAGCAGAAAGAGATTCATAAAGTAAACAAAATCTATTCAGTTCTGTTCTCATGTTGATGGTTATCATGTTCCTCTAAATTTGTATGCAAAATTTGGATGATAGTTTTGCTGTATTATTTCTTCTCAAATTYGTTGAGTAAAATWCGCAGATAAAAGTGCTTTGTTTACATCGAGCGCATACCCGCATTTCCAAATGACACATCTGGAGTAAACTCAAATTGCAGCATTGGATTTACTTTATAATTAACTTTTTGTGTGTGTTTGATTTCATCATTGTAAACCTTTAAAAAGGTAAACTCAACTGGTTTTACGGTCTTTATAGGCGCTCTGACGTCAACTCACCCAGAAGTGCGCGTGACAGTTGACCACCATGGTGCGCTCGATCAGCTCGTCTGGACACTCCAGCAGGTGGTGACCGGAGACCACGCCGGCGTTGTTGATCAGTATGTCCACCTCTCCCACCTCCCGGCGCACCTTCTCCGCCGTGGAATACACGTTCTCGCGTTTTCCCACGTCACACACGTAGGTGTAGACCTGAGGCTGGAAGGCGGGGACCTCCTCCACCCCTCCAACAGGTCCTGGGGATGGAAACAGGGGAAATTTTATTGGTTTGGATCTGGACTAAATAGACTAAATGAGAGGCAAACGGTGGCAGTTCTGGTAGTTGATGTATTTTTTTGTGCAGTTTGTTCAAAATCAAGGAAATCGACCTTAAATATTTATCATAATGATTTAGAATTTCCATTTCTTTCATTCTAAAATGGGTTACCTGCTAGTCATACCTGTAAATTCCATCAGGACCCCTCTTGATAAATAAAGTCGTTACCAAATAAAATCTTTAATTGCACAAAAATCTCTAGATCAGTGGTTCCCAAACTTTTTATCTTCTGACCCATTAAATATCCATGGCAAAAACTTGTGACCCCAAATATTACTGGTCTGAGTACACGAACTTCATTAATAAAACACAGGCTTGTTGACAATCTAAACAGCTTGTACACAAATATAAATACTTATTTGTACTTATTTTGTG